CCACAACTCAGTACCAAGGGTATATGATATATGATAATGTCCTGCCTGATCAAGGCTACATCGCTCACCTCGTGGGGCGGTGACAGAAGAATGTGGAGGAATGATGGAATGATAATTAGCAGGGATAAACCGAAGAATTCGGAGAAAACCCTACTCCAGCGCCAATCCGTCCATCATAAAACCCAAGCCGGGACAACTAAAGCCAGATCCTAACAAACGCGACGTAAAAAACAGGAACGGACACACGGTTTAGGGATTAGATGGCAAGGCCTTTGTGTATTTAAGCTTTCGGACATATCGGATGTGGCCGAAACATTTTGGGCATTAATCTTGCGGGTTACGTGGAAACATGGCAACTTTAATGGCTGTAGAAAATATTTTTACGTCTCGCTGTTAACACATAATATATGTTCACGAATGTACATAAGGTAAATCACGAAGCGGTAAGCCATTACTTTTTCGGTAAAACATGTTTCACCTTCTGTCTATTTACAATAACGGATCATAAACAAAATCAATATATAAATGGGAATAAGTTATCATCAAGATGACAGTAGGAGTAGAATGCTTAGAAATAATACTGCCATAGAAGTAAGGCATAACAGCTATTAATTATCATGCGAATTAAAATGTTACTCACCTTCATTTTCCACACTAAGAAATTTACATTATCTCATGAGAGAATCACATCAGTACGAAACTGCCTCAGAATGCAGTTTGTGTTCTAAGGAGACACTACATGGCATGCTTGTTAACCCCTAATTAATTGATTTATCCAAGTGCTCAGAATACGTGGTAGCACATAAATGACAGCTCAGGGCATCATGAGTATCATTTTGTGGTAGAATATGGCCCAGCTGTTACCTTAATTGCAATCCAATACAACAGGAATTTCCAACAAAACCTCTCAGAAACCACATCTTAAAACCAAGTATCACACGCATATAAACACTTTTAAAGTTCAAAGAAATTTTTTTTTGGCCGTGTCATTCTTAGAAATGTAACCAAACATGGATGTGACAAGATTACGTTGGCGCAAAGACGTCCCGGCGAATATATTTGGAAATTATTTGGATCTATGTCACGACATTATACCTGGTACTGCATTGAGATATAGATGTTGTTTACAAATTTTACAAAATGGATAAGCTTTAAATATTTAAGAACGTCAGAAACAAATCCAACATCATCAGGGTGCAATATCCCAGAAGACAGTCACCTTCAAGTAATAAGATATCAAATCTAAAAGTTCCTGACGATGGTGAGTTATTCGAACAACAATTTCCTTGGATATTTTCCATCGTCTAGAGATAGAACACCATCTCCGAAACGTCGTTTTATATTTTATTATTTTACTAGATGATGGAAAACATCGAAAAAAATTTTATTCAAGTAATAAGATGATCGATTCTGAACACAGTGCCAGATATTAAAACTCTATACAAGACGGTAAATTATTTGAAGCAAAACTACTGATTATTGATGTGAATGTGTACTTACTGCCTCGTTGTGGTTCCAGAATATGTATGCCGGCGGTTCAGGACTGTACAGAACAACGCACGTTAGGTTGATGGTGCTGCCACGGTCAATGTACAAGTCAGGACCACCAATGATGTCAGTAGTTGGCTCTGAAACCAGACATAAGCTACCATCACTCATAATTCAAAATATACGAGCTCATAAGACGACTGTCTTCTGGGTTGTTGCGCCGTGTAGTCTGGGGCAGAAAGGACCTCTGAAACGTCGGTAAACTACTACCAGACTACACGGCGCAACAAACCAGTGTGCCATGCCTCATGGCTCGGAGTGACCTATCTCCCCTGCCCTTATTCGTCCTGACATATGACCACCTCCCGGTCTCTGGGTGTTACTTCAATCTATTGCCACAGTCGCCGGTAGGGCGCGCCAGAAGACAGCCATCTTCAGACTCACCGCCGTGAAAACTTCAAATTTTACGAGGTGCGATCGAAAGGTTTCCAGACTGCGCGTATAAAAACCCGTACACTTATCTCAGGTATTAAATTCATCCATCACACTCGAAGTAGTTCCACTGGGAGTGAACACAACGATCCCAGCGCCGCTGCCAAGCCTGGAAGCATCCCTGGAAATCTTTCTTTGTCAGCCTGTCAAGCACCATCTGCGATTCTGCCTGAATCTCTTCTATCGTCTCAAATCTCCTTCCCTTTAGCTGAATTTTCATCTTTGGGAAGAGGAAGAAGGCACACGGCGAATAAGGAGGGTGCGGGATGACGGCCATGGTGTTTGAGGCCAAAAACTGCCGAACTTTGAGGGAGGTGTGCGCTGGCGCGTTGTCATGATGCGTCGCATGTGGAGTTCTTCCTTTAGAATCAGCGGACAGGTCCCATAGCCTATCCCAACAATGTCGCACAAGTCGTTGATGGTACGACGACGATCTTCGTAACATTTTCGGGCGTTGTGCTCAAAGATGGTCGTCCAGAACGCTCGTCAACATCGACAGAGGTTCGGCCATTTTTAAAACGTGAATGCCACACAAAAGTTGGCGGACTCCCCAAATGCTTGCTTTAGCAATACGAGGTGCGATCGGAAGGTTTCCAGACTGCGCGTATAAAAACCAGTACACTTATCTGAGGTATTAAATTCATCCATCACCCTTGAAGTAGTTCCCCTGGGAGTGAACACAACGATCCCAGCGCCGCTGCCAAGCCTGGAAATCTTTCTTTGTCAGCCTGTCAAGCACCCTCTGCGATTCTGCCTGAATCTCTTCTATCGTCTCAAATCTCCTTCCCTTTAGCTGAATTTTCATCTTTGGGAAGAGGAAGAAGTCACACGGCGAATAAGGAGGTTGCGGGATGACGGCCATGGTGTTTGAGGCCCAAAACTGCCGAACTTTGAGGGCGGTGTGTGCTGGCGCGTTGTCATGATGCGTCGCATGTGGAGTTCTTCCTTTAGAATCAGCTGACAGGTCCCATAGCCTATCCCAACAATGTCGCACAAGTCGTTGATGGTACGACGTCGATCTTCGTGAATGGCCTGCCGAATCTTCGTAACATTTTCGGGCGTTGTGCTCGAAGATGGTCGTCCAGTAAAGCTCCTTATTAACTAATTTTCTCCTTTACTTTCATCCCCCTTTCTTTCTTACATTCCTTTTCTTTGGCTTTCCTTTCTCTCTGTTATTTTCCTGCGGCCCTCCATCACTGCCTCGTTCTCTGATTCTCTCCTTCCTCTTCTTCACCTCCTTTTTTACTTTTTCCGTCCGTCTCGTTCTTTCAACTTAATAACAATACGAAGAGCTTACTGGTTCCATACAGATTATTGCAACTCAAAGGATCGGGACCTACAGACAACTTAAGAACGAGTTTGAAAAAAACTAAACACCACTAATTAAGACGTTTCTTTGACACACAGGCTAATAAATAAAAACAGTTCGAATAAAAATTAGGCTGTAGTAAGATTATTATTCGGGGATGGTAAGAACTCCGCAGCAATCATTCAACATGAAGAGAGAGGGAGGGAGGGAGTGAGAGAGGGGGATACAGTGTCAATCAGGTACCATCTTATGAAATAAGCCTACCAGTTAATTGCCTTTTTTAATGAAAGCAAAATGAGGGCTCTACGGACATTTTATACAACTTTATACCAGTTTTAATTTTTTTTACTTAGCGAAGATTCAAAATAAGTCTTACAAGGCTTTACATGGCGTTCTTTTTTCATCATGTCAAAAATTCAAAAAGTAATAATTAATTAGGAGGCTTATTAAAATCTGAAAATAAATTTTCCCTTTGAAGGAACAGAACAGATTCAATGTTAATATTCTGTTTACCATATATAGAAAGCAAGATTAAAGGAGGAGAAAAAAGACCACCGACTGTAGAAGAAGAAGAAGAAGAACAGTAAAACAGCAGGAAGCTATAAGACGGTGCCTCACTCTTATACCAACATGGACGCACGTAGCATTACGTTGGTCTCTCAAAATATTTTATATTTATTATAACGGGCGAAGAAAATTAAACATTGTTATAAATTCTATTCGTTAAATAGAGCCATAATTATGGTTTGATAGTCAAAAATTAAGGAAATGTCCGATTGCTGTTAAGTCCTGGGGCGATTACAGATTTAAATTCTTAAGGAGAATGAAGCAAGTGACTACAGAATGTTTCAGATACAAAGGTTTAAGAAAAAATGCATACGTTATCAAAACAGTTTAATCGGAATTTTAAAAATGAACTCAATGACAAAATAATCATAAGGTAATTAAAGGCCTATGCATATATTTTTTAATGCATATGGACCAGCGATCATCAAGTTTCCAGTTTGTATAAAAACAAAATGTTTTCGATTGTCTCGGAATGTAAAATACGTGACCCAATTGCAAGACTACTCAATACATCCAATAAGGTGCAGAATTTTTAAAGTATCTAATAGGACATGTGAGGGTTATGATATTAAAATAAGCCATAGTGACGGAAGTGAAATTTGCAAAACTCATCTTTATGGCAATCTTCTGACAGAATATTAGTTTAAAGCTTGATTTTAATGACAGAATAAAACTAGAACGTTATAAGTGGAATTAGGGAAAGGAAGGGTAGTTTTCTTCTTATAAGAACAGAAGTCTGTACCGCAAGAGAACTGCCCCATTAGGGATAGATTTATTAGGCTGAGAACCGCTGTGGGAAAAGAAATCCAGTGTTAGACACAGTGCTCTATACAATAAACTCAAGCCAATAAAGAAATGAAAAATCTGTTGCACTACACGAATGCGTTTTTCCTACAGAAGGTGCTAAAAACTTCAGCCAGTTATTCATGCAGAATGGCTAGCATTAGACTAAATTTGAACCGTGTATGTTTCTATTTAAAAGTAGGAGTGGAAACCACTGTACGTACGTTGTAGAAAAGAGATATCTCCGTAGAAACTAGCCCAACGCAGATTTATACACATAAAATCTTAATCACAATGTAAGGACCGGGCTCTGCGGGTCAACTAGGGTACCAACTTTATGGCCAGAAACATGTTTTAATGAGATCAAGGTGTGTTAAGTTTCCAGAGAAGTAATTTTTGAACGTCTGTGCTTTATCTAAGGCAAGAGTCACACAACAAAGATAGAACGACTGGTTATACTGAAGTGGAATGCTCATAATCGCATTTTCCAGACAGTTTCACTGTGATTCTGCACAGTTATGCCTAATTTGCATTCATGTTAATTTATTACACATAAAAGTAAATTATTTTAGCCAAAAAACACGAGAGATGAGAAACGCATACAAAAGTTTGTCCGAAAGATCTACAAGAGGAGACCCTACTTGGGAGTCGTAGAAGTAGAAGACATGATGGATATTAAAGAAACGTCTGACGTTGTGGTATTGGCTCATACGGATCAGCGTATTGTCCAGTGGCGGACTTTTATAAATGCGGTAATGAAGCACTGAAAATTCATTGATAAACGAAGCAACTGGTAGCTGTTTTTAAAGGATTGCTCCGTATTTATGGTTGAAATTGCAGTACCGAGACAGAGCAGAACTTTCGTGTATGTCGCAGGGGCACATAAGAGGATCAGAAGCACGTTGAAATAACAGGGAAGTATGGGCCTGTAATGTGTAGCAGGTAGTTACAAGGAATCTGCCTCTAACGAGATGTGACAGCAACTGGAGGGAACTAAAAGAAATGTAAGAAGTGACAGGGCGTTACTATAAGAACGGAAGATACACTGTGACAAAGCAGCTGAGGAGCGCAATTGATAGAAGCTGTCACAGGGTCTTATTATGAAACTGATGGAATGGGACAAGTCAGAGTAAGAAAGTTTGGCGCAACACAGGAAAACATTGAATAGGTCAACAGATGCAGGCCAATATGCTCATCTCTCCTATATTTCCATGCAAGCATTTTTAGAAGATTTTCGTAATTTCAAACAGAAGAACTCTTTCACGAATTGTTAACTAAAAGGTAATAAACGTATTTTCGACTAATTAGGGCTACAAATTAAATTGACCTTCAAAGTCCATTTTACGTTAAACTGACTTTCCATCTAGGATGCATATACTGGGCCTCTATAAATTAGCTGTCAATCTGAAGGGCTTGTAATTATTTATTTGTAACACACACGAAAAACATATGTACTACAAAAGTCGCACACCATTCAAGTTTTTCACATGCGATTACGAAGTTCATATATACGTTTTTCGTAATGGGTTATAAATAAATAATTACACTCACTTCAAATCGTCCGCTAATTTACGGACACTCTCTGTATGATATATAATATTTTCTGGTACTTCAACATGAGATATTTTGTGCATATCATTGAAATGGCTAGGCTGATATTAACCTCTTGAATTCTGTAACTGTCTGAACATACAAAAGCAATGACACTGCGAAACGTAAAGGGGCTTCGACGTTTTGGTAGCCTACCATAATGACAGTCTGATTGAGAGGAACAACAGAAACTGATGAACCATGTAGGATAAATATATATTATATGTATGTGTGTGTTATTTCGTCCATATGTCAAAGTACGCTGGTAAAGCATGAAATTGGAGATATCGTCGTTAAATTTACAGAATACAGGGTCAATTTTGAAGGTAGGAGAGCGCAGAAAAAGCCACAGCACTCGGTACAAATATCAAGCTCCGGAAATTAATATGTATTTCATCT